GGGCTAAAAAACGAGAAATACCTAGCAAATACCGAGCAATACCAAACAATAATGAGGAATATCATCATGTGAAGACCAATACCGAGTTATACCGAGCTATACCGAACAATACAAAAAAATACCTAGTTTTTTCTAGAAAGAACTCGGTATTTTTTTGTATTTGCCCAGTATTGCTCGGTACAGCTCGGTATAACTCGGTATTGGTCTTCACATGATGATATTCCTCGTTATTATCAAATAATACCTAGCAATACCGAGCAAAAACCGAATTTTTTGGCAGTGGGAGGACATATCTCTACGTCAGGTGGGAGGACACAATAAAAATTCGTTGTTGAAAGGGATATTTAACTTGTTTAAGGGAACTTCAAACTTAGGTGGAATAAGATATTGTAGGTAGAGCTTTAAAAGCATAAGCCAATTTTCCTTTGGCATAATTTTGAGATCTTTGCAATTAATGAATGATTTTTCACTGGCTCTGCTGTTAATTAATGGTTATTTGTAAGAAGGATGACGAGATTAGAGAAATCCCATAATGAAATCACTAACCAAAGATTAATGACTGATGGTTGGGCCACCTATGCAGGAGGATCCAATGCAGGGAGTTGTGTTACTGTTATAGGAGTTTGATGACTTGGTGGACCTAATTGCAATCATTAAAGATTAAAAAATTCATTGCACATACGTGTGCAAGTGAAGAAATGTATTTTTTTTCAAATAAATTATGATCACTCCCACGTACCATCGTCTCTTTAAATTATACTAGATCAAATTAAATTGATTTCTTTTTTCAAAGAACTTATAATTGGTGGAGCATTTATAAGAGGCACCATAATTTTTACGTGAAAAACCTTAAAAAGTTGGAAAATCATAAGGCATGGCTCAGTTTGAATGAATCCACTAGTGTTTGCAGTCAATTACAAATAAGTCCCTTCATTGGGTGGAAGACCTTGACTTGATGTAGAAAATATACATCATATCGAGTGCATTACATGGTGGGAATTAAAAGAATATGTATTGACATATTCGTGTGGTCAGCAGGACCATAGTCTACAGCGACAAAGGTTGGAAACATCGTAGCCAGGTGACAGTGGTCAAAAGGACAATATTCGGCCAGTGATGGAAGTCAGAAAGAGCATTGTCTAACGATGGAGGTCATAAGGATCGTAGTATGACGACGGATGTTGGAATGAGCATAATCGGCAGGCAACAGCGGTCAAAAAGTCCGTTGTCTAGTGACAGGGATCGAAAGGATAGTAATCTGGCGATGGAGGTCGGAAGGACTGTGGTTGACGGGCGATGGTGATAAAAAAGACCGTTGTCTGGCAACAGAGGTCGGAATGACTATAATCTAGCGACTGATGTCAGAAAGACCGCTTTATGGCGATGGAGGTTGGAAGTACTGTAGTCGGCCGATGTTAGTGGTCAGAATGATTATTGTCTAGTGTCAGTTGTCGGGGAGAAGTTCGACAATAATCGATGGTCGAGAGTAAATCTGACGACAGTTGGTGTCTGGGCGAAAGTGCGGCGTCGGTCGGTAGCCAAGCAAATATTTGGTGTTAATCGATGGTTGGGCGGAAGTCCGGCTTCAATCAGATGACGGTTGAGGGTCTGATGGTGGTCAAGGAGGAGTTTAGTGGGAAGAGAACTCTAGTTTCTCTCTCTTTCTTGCTTGGGTCCCCTTCCATAAGAAATGAAGAGTCTATTTATAGTTTTTTTTTTTTTTGTGATGTGGCCAGTAAATAGGAGGGAGATCAAGGATACATTGGGAGTGGTTTGAATGAATGGATGATATTGATCCCCTATATTATGGACTATTTACTAGGCATTTGAATGTCTTAATGATATCAAAATTCAATGATCTTGGGCTCATTGGATTCGTCTCATCGAGTCGCTCAATTAAACTATAAGCATTTCACATTTGGAAACATTTTGGTCATCCAATTTATAGTTTGAATCTTCAAAATGCACTTCGGGTTTTCGATTTGTCAACATTTGGGCTCGGATTGAATCTAATTTGGTGTTGTTGGGTTTGTCTTTTCGAGACATTCAATTTGATTATATGTTTGTTGAAATCAGACTTCATATGGTCCCGGATTTAATTTCGGAAGTTTTCAACTCAATTTAGCCTCGAGATTCTTACCCGATAAAGATAATTTTTTTATGATATATCAAGCCTCATCTAATATAGGCTCTATTTGGGGTAGCTTTATTACTCCTTTTTAAAGCAGTTTTTTAATACAAAAAAATTTTAACAAAAAATTTTTGTACTTAAGAACTGATTTAAAAAGTAATAAGAAAATTGTCTCAAACGAGCTCACGATTTTTATATAGGAAAAACAATACGATTAAGACTTAGTTCTTCGAGGAGTATATATATGTATATATATATAATTTTAATTATTATTATTTTAATAATTTTGAGTCAGAGTTAACGCGCTCAAACTCCACTTATAACAATCCTACCTTTAGCCTTAGTGGGGGGAGGCAACGACCATCCAAAGTTAGGCTTATTTGAGTTAGTGACAAAATTTGTATAAGGAATTTCTGGCCAAAAAAATTGTGAGAAATACTTTTTTATTATTGAATGTCATTGGGATAAGGGCAACACAAAAATATTCAAACACTTAAAGAATCAAACTGATCAATTTAGCTCGATCATAGGTCATGATGATTAGAATTGATTTGATAGGTTGGTTCTTAGTACTAATAGTAGAGAAATATGAAAACAATTAAATCCAAAATAAAAATTTAAAATGCACTAATGCAACAAGGCCAATTGGCAAAATGAAGGAGATAATGATTATATTTTACCATTATTTGTGTTAATGTAAATATTTGGCCAAATAAAGTAGAAAGTAGTTGCTTGTTATTATTTTGTCTCTTAATATGGATGGATAGTCTAAATTATTTTTTCTCAATTATGAAATGGATGATATAACTATTTCTATTTAATTTGTATTCTAGAATAAATAGTTAAATATATTTTTATAATGATGTCTATAATATAAATTTTATAAAGAGGTGTTCTATTTTGTATTTATATTTATATTCATCGTCTTTGACATGTATTTGATCTAAGCAAATAAACAGACAATCTAAATTTGAACCCGATAATCAAACCAATTAATCAATTCAACCTCATTCAATTCTAACCTAACTCGAGTCAAATATAGGCTTCGTTTGGGACATCATTTTTACTAATTCGTAAAGATGTTGTGGATAAAGTAGCATTGTAAGGTTTCTATTTGAGACGACTTTTTTTTTACTTCTTAAAGTAGATTTTAGTACAAAAATTTTTGTACTAGAAAGCTGCTTTAGGAAGTAGTAGGAAAGCCTTCCTAAACGAAGCCTAAAGCTGATGTAGAAAGTAACTTTCTAGTATAAAATTTTAAAAAAAAAATTGTCAAATAAAAATAATGAGTAAGATATGAAAAATAAACAATAAAAAATTGGTCTAAAATAAAACCATAATTTCAAAAATGATGAAACTAATAAGGATACCTAACTACATGGGCGGATCCCCATTTAGTTGAGGGGGGGGCACATGCCCCCCCTCAAAAAATTTTTTTTTTTAATTTTAGTGAGATATTTTGAAATATTTTGGGTATTTTGGGTATTTTGCCCCCTCTCAAAAAATTTTTTTGCCCTCATTTAATCAATCCTAAGCATCTTTGCCCATCCCCCACAAAAAAAATTTTTTTTGCCCACCCTGAAAAAAGAAGCTGGATCCGCCCCTGCCTAACTATGATATCAATTTAACCTAAAATTGGGTGAACCCAACCCAAATAACTTCTTGGGTTGCTTGTAATGAGAGTAGATGCATCCATTTCAATAAAAAAATTAATATTCTTCACAGGTTTCTATTGAGAAATTCCTTCTAGAAAGTTTCTTAAAATTAATTTCTTATAATAATTTTATCCTCTTGTCTAGTTTTAATTGTTCCTAGGTCTAATCTTAGCTAACAGACACGCGATTAAGCTGACTGAATGACCAATTTGTTGGTCTGACATTTTTGGCTGGTTGGACCAAAGCCTTCTAGTAGCCTAACAACTGCTCTAAATCATTCGTAATTAATAAAAATAATAGTAATAAATATTTTTTTTATATAAATGAATAAAAAGGGCGTTAAATAACCGCACAACTTGCCTCAATGAAGGGAATTTTTATTAGGTCCGGACACCTGACGTAGCTCTACAGCCGGACGCCAATAAAATGTCGCCACGTGCTCTTACTCTTTATCGCGCGGCCCGACGACCCGATCCGGACCGGAACCCAATATTGCTATGTATTAGCTGATTTATACAGACCAGGGTATTGCTAGGTTTTGCTTGGTAATGAGAAATATCATTTTGTCAAAACCAATACCTAGCAATACCCCGGTTTTGCTAGGTATTGCTCCGTATTTGCTAGGCATTGCTCGGTATTGGTCTTGACAGAGCGGTATTTCTCATTATTGCCAAGCAATACCTAGCAATACCGAGCAATACACGAACATAGCAATACCGGGTTTCCGTTCCAGGTCGGGTCATCGGGCCGCACGGTAAAGAGTAAGAGCACGTAGCGATATTTTATTGAAATCCGAATGTAGAGCTACGTCAGGTGTCCGGACCTAATAAAAATTCCAACGAAGGACGCTATTCCAATTCATGCCAAAAAAAAAGTAATGCGTGATTTTTTTCTAATTATTTTTAAATTAATCCCTATTAAATATGTCCGTTAGAAGGGAACAAATCTCTTCTATTTATTATATATGTTTCATATATTTTTTTTATTATAAATAATGTGAGATGATAATAATAGTGGCAGAGTTTGAAATTTTTCATCCAAAGTTTTTTTGAAGAGAGCTCTTATTGAATATTTTTATGAAAAATATATTTACAAACAACAATAAAAATAACATCAAGCCTGTATCCCTGTATGAATTTTTTTTTTTTTTTTTCTCTTTTGTATTCTATTAAGAGTCAACTATATCTAATGATTTAGAGCCTAAAAAGAAATAATTTGAGTTGCAATTCTGATTCAATCCCATCCAGATATAAATTATATGAGGCCAAGAGAGCCAAAATAAGAACTGGTCAATCTAAGGTTCAAATTACATCAATGCCAATATATTAAACTACATTTATGTACTAACTTAAAAAGATAACGGTCATATTGGCATTTGTTAATCACAAAGGTCTACAAGATCCTCGGCTCTACCTGCAAAAGGTGAAATTATTTTATGCGGATATACAGATGTTGTTCAGAGGCGAATCAGAGCGTGTCACACCACCTCTTTGATGTGTACCGCAGTTATGTACCAGGTGATATGACGCGCTTTTATTCGCCTCTAGACGGTCTGGTGTCCGCACAGAATAATTTCTCCTTAGGCACTGGAACACACAATTCAATAGTTTCATGCAGTGCGAATGTCTCAGCTTCCTGCATTGAAGTGATCTTTTTCATTTTTTCAGCAAGATTCTAAGCAATTTAGCAGATGGCAGTATCACTGTAGGGGATTCGCTTATTCTGTGCGACTAAATGGCTATTGGTTTCTTTACACCTGGACCATCTTGACCTTTTCTTGCAATCACCGTTCCAAATCTTTCCAGCCAGGATGCTCAGTAGTCCCCTCAAGTATGCAGCAACTGCTGCTAAAACTTCCCTGCAAGACGGAAGCTGAATATAACACTCGGTAATGGGAGATATATTTCATGCAGATAAGAAGGTGCGGATATATGTAGACAGACAATTAGGACTTTGGCGTGAATAATTGTGCATAGCTGTGTACAAACTCTTAATTGGTTGTCTGTATGTGCGGAATTTGCAGGTAATAATTTCTCAAACAATAGAAAACATAAGCACGCATGTATATAAGCAAGCATCCTAAGAAGAAAATTTGACCCTCACAATGCAGATTAATTATTCTGTGCCAACGCCGAACGCCTTCCGGAATCCAACGCAAATGTGCCACGTCATCCCTTAGCTCGGTACTGCGGCTCTGTACTGCTCGGTGCCGCTTATGTGGCGCATTTTGGTTAATCTCCGGATGGCATTCTGCGTTCGACCTCCGCACAAAATAACTTCTCCACAATGCACTGTGCAGATGTGATTTCATATTCCTTCCCTTGTTCCAATGATAAAATGTATTGAGATGCATATGAGCGGGCAAAATACGCTAACATTATGCAACTTAGATACCAAAATGATTTCCTTACCGCATTGAGCAAGGAGACTGGCCACCATTAACATAGTACACAAACAGGAATGCGTCGTAATGATATCCATTAATATAGTAGAACTTTGACAACCTTCTTACAAGCTTAAATAGCATCTTCTGGTAGAAATGGATGGCTGGTAGATTGTAAGCAATAACATGCAAATAGACTGCTCTGCAGCTAGAAATGCTTGAAGCATATTTTATAACCTCCCGAACAAGTGAAGAAGCTAATAGAAATTCAAAAGAGTGGATTAGCCATTTGATGCCACAGAGAAAGGGAACAATTAAGGCTTCGTTTGGGACGACTTTCTTACCACTTCTTAAAACAGTTTTTCAGTACAAAAATTTTAATTTTTATATTAGAAAGTTGCTTTAAGAAGTAAGATAGTCGTCCCAAACAAAGCTTAAATCTCACAATTGAAAAAGAGAAGATATTAACCTATGCCAAGGTTCCTGTATTGTTCTACCACACCAAGTGTCAAGATATAGACTAAAGTTTGATCGTTCCTAGTAGTGTCATATCTTAGTAAATTCTGAATCTGTACAAGAAAGACTTGAATGTTTTTATAACGTTCAACTTCTCTAAAAAACTTTTACGTAAGTTAGCTACCTCACTTTCTTTTACTGCGTTGATGCGTGTAGTTACAAATCCAATAAGCTCGTCAATGTGACCATCAGACCGGCTAACGTCAACAGCACCCCAAGAGACAATGCCTAGCCCATTGACAACATTGAGGAAGAAGTCTATGTCATACCTGCAAAAAAACATATCAAAGAACAAATTCCTCAAATGATGAGAATCTATATACAGAGCTAAACCAACTACGGTATCTATATATAGAAAGGCTTGGCATTTTACCTTACGGGAAATAAAGAAGCATGGATCAGCTCAAGAACTTGCAGATCAGATGGCCGAATTGGCCTGTAAATAATTGTTGGGCAGTGTTTAATTTCTAACTCAAACATGACAAGCTTCACCACTGATCCAGTGCAAATATTCAAGTCCGGTAAAGATGCATTGAAAAGCGTGCCTCCATCTATGGCACATCAGTTTCACTTTTGTTATTTTATCATGATAAGTTTAGACATTATTGGTCTTACTCGCAGTATGATCGCTGCAATTATCAGCAGGTAAAGTCAAATCAGTTCAATAAACAAGAGAATGAATCATACTCACACAAAATGTACGAGTTATGTCAAGTTTTTTGAACTTGTCCATACCTCAAAGTATGCGTTGATTAATGATACATGATTCATTGCTGAGATCACAACCATCTCCACGCTTTTTATTGAATGTAATTTACTTGAAAGAATTCAAGATAATCATAGATTTAAGAGCCATAATTGCTTATAACTGCTGTAATTTTTCATCATCAAACAATATTTGACAAATATGAGGTGGAAAACTCAACACAAGGAGGTACTCAGAAACCTAGCATTTAGAATAGGTAGGTTGGCCAGTTTTCAAATAGTCAACTTCTGCATTGATTTTCCTTTTCCAATCAATGATATATGTTCAAGAAACGTATGAATTGGTCCCCTTACTTTTATCATAAGGACCAAAATAGTACCCGATTATATAAAAATATCAATTTAGTCTCTTGGTTCTGTAAACTGGAACCCAATTAATCTTTCTACAGGATCATTTAGGTCCCTATTTAAAAATTCGAATGACAAATGGCACTTGTTAATAGTCGGCGACCATTTTGGCCCTTCGTAAAAAATCAGAGGATCATTTTGATTCTTATCTCATATAATGTTCAAACTCCATGAAACAAAAAAGAAGAGAGACTTCTACTATAGCTTTCTTGTAAAAATGGTCACTAAACATAAATTGTAAGAAAATAAGCGAAATATGTAAATAGCACTCCATTTTGACCCCACATGAAAAACAACATGCAAGTAAAATTTACATTTGATGTGGAAGCATCTTGTTGATTTCCATAATCACGTAAAAAAAAGAACAAAAAAAGTGCTTAAATCATTACATGTCTGAAATCCTGTCGTATCCCGTCGTTGCTAACTGTCCCATCTTGCGGTCTGCAATTCGGAGCCGAACTCAGTCACCCATCCCTCCCATGCGTGACATCCTCTTGTTTCGCACTCCTATTCGCGCTATTAAAATGAGGACGAAGAAATCCAACAGCTTTTCACTTGACTGACCCCTCTCTTAGCCTGAACGAAGCTCCACCTTAGCTACAACAATTGATTTCACCAACTCCACCCTAGTCCACTGCAAGACTCATAAACCCCAAATTCACATTACCAAATCCATTTCTCAATAGCCCACTTGAAATCAGCCTTTTTATCTAAGCCCTCTAACTCGCCAAGGTAATCATTCACTCCCTCACCTCAATATTTTGATATTAAATGCATTTAATGTTAATGTTAATACTAAAACTAATATTAATATTAAAGTTATTATTATTATTATTATTATTATTATTATCCCTTCATTGAAAATCAAGAAATTTTTCATTCAAATAGGAGGTAGAAGTGTCTATTCAAAGGGATAACCGTTAATATCCTCCCAACATGACAATAAAATGGGAATCCATTACTAAATCCAGGAGAGGACTCCTGAATATTTTACAAACCCTTCAAGAGAGATTTATATAACAATACTATTTGAAAAAAATAATAATCCTTTTATTAATAAATTTGTATGTCTTTCATCTACATTTGTTGAATACGTCTCCACAATTATCTCTCTCCAGGCTCTTTTCCTCTCCATCTAATTCTGGCATTAACAATAGTATCCCACTTGGTGCTAAAGTCAGCAAACCCAAACAGGGAGCTCCAAGGGGTTGATAGAAGGGTGAAGTAAATTTTGGGGAAGAAAGAATAACATAATAATCTATGTAGCACGGATACTCCTATTTACGAGCCATGTTGTATCGGATATGTGTCGGATACGGATACGCCTCCGATAAGGCACAGATACGTGTCGGATACGTCTTTACCGTGTCCAATTAAAATATTATTTAAATTTGCTCGGACACACGTATCGGATACTCGTGTCCTATTAAAAAAAACAAAAAAGGGTACCGGAACTCGGTACCGCTCGGTACTCGGTATTCGGTACTGCTCGGTACCGAAACTCGGTACCGCTTAATACCTCTCCACAATGCTCAGTACCATGCTCAGTATCAATGCTCGGTACCGAGGGATACCGAATGGTACCAAGCGACACTGAGAAGTAAGAGAAAGCTTTAAAACAACTCTTACAATAAAATGGTACCATGTCGAAGCCTTGGACCCCCCACATATTTGTGACATATCTACACTTTTACTTCAAAATTTTTATGTTTCAAATTCATGTGTTTTAATTTGTGTCTATCCTTCATAGGATAATGAGCTCTAGTGGCGTAGGAATTGGGTCTGATGATGGTCTATCAGAGACCAATTCAATTTTTTTGTCATTTCAAATATTACGCTTTGATTACTTTCTTAAATTTTATGTATGATTTATATATTATAATGTCGTAACCACGTCGTATCCGTATCCTGTACTTTTAAGAATTGACGTGTCCCATATCTGTATCGATGCAACATAGATAATAATTGAGTTTATTAATCATTAAGGTTTTAAGTGCTCATTAAGAAAATAATATTTAAGGACCACTTTCTTAAAACTTAAAAGTATTGAATTTATCAAAAAAAAAAGGCAACTACATTAAGTTATCTGCAAAATACCACTTTAATTACAGTCATTTATAATGAATTTCAATGAAAAGTCTTGGAATAGAAACAAGAACAAAGATACTTCAACAAGATAAACAGTCCCGGAATAAATGAAATTTTAAAAATACCAAGAAACCAAGTTGAAGTTGCATCAATAGGAAAAAAGTTAAATAAGGAATTCCAGATATAAAAATGATCAAAAGTGCAAGGCTTTTCTAGTAAACAACAAAAATTCTATTTTCTTTGAACTTCATATGAATTAAGAAAATCGCCATGTATTTCTTACATAAATATTTTTTAATTTTATTTGATCTAATCTTATAGATAAATTATAAGATTACATATTATGTCTGACATTTATGTTGATTCAGGTGATATCAACAGAAATAAATATCAATATAGATCAGCTTATAATAATATTATATATATTTTGTGTTATTATTGGTAAATGAAGATTATAACTTATGTGATACTAGGGGTGTCAATTCTCAGCGGGTCGGGTTCGGGTCAACCCGAACCCGACCCGTTTTTAAAAACGAGTCAGGTTGCCGGACCCGAACTCGACCCGATTCGGGTCCGGGTCAACCCGACCAGACACGAATGACCTGAAGTTGACCTAAAATTGCTAATTTTCGGGTAAAAAATCGGGTCAATATTCAATTTTCGGGTCAAAATCGGGTCAAAAACAGGTCAATATCGAGTTTTCGGGTCAAATATGAGTTTTTGTGTCACTTTTGAGTTGATGGGTCAACCCAAACCCGACCCGATTTTTAAAATGGGTGATTTGTTGAACCCGAACCCGACCCGTTTCGGGTTAGGGTTGACCCAAACCCGGATTTTTTCGGGTCGGGTTCGGGTCGTGTTTCGGGTCGTGTCGAAAATTGACACCCCTATGTGATAGCATACTGATGTCTAAATTAATATTAATTAGACGTAACATAATAATCAATTTATTAGCAATAAGTAATTTGGTAATAATAATAATAATATACCACTATTATAACATAAAATATATCAACTTAAATACCATTGATATTAATTAAATAACCACTATTACATCATAAAAATATATCAACTTAAATACAATTGGTATTAATTAAATAATAAGTGCTCAATAAATTGATTTAAAATTTCAATTTATTATCAAAACGATAAATGATTAATGTCATAACAAAGGTATATCACAATTTGAAAATTAATTTAAATTTTCAATTATAATTATGATCAATCGCAACAAGGCATAACGTGAACCAATAAATATAACTTTAATATAGTAGTTGGAATACCAATAACTCTGATCAGTCATAATGTGGATCAAGCTTTATAAAATTACATAACGTGAAATTTTATTGAGGCGGCTGCTATGCCGCCTTGTATTAATTAGAAAATATTTAATATATATTAATATTAATTAAGTTATTATTATTATAGTATATTTTTTGACTTTTTCAATTCTCCAAAAATTTAAAAAAAAAATCCAAAAAATTATAGAAAGATTTTAACGCTGCACCACCACCCCCCCACTCTTGCTCCTATAAATACTTCCTTGGGGGAGGATGAAGAGCATAATCTCTTGTGTCGAACAAAAAAAAAATTTCTTTGGATTGATAGCTCGGAGATTGATGGTGGCTATCAAAATCTTGCTCTCTTATGACAATCCTTCTGTGGATTGATAGCTCAGAGGGCTTTGATGGAGATCAAAGCATTGTCCTCTTGTGCTGGTCCTTTGAATTGGTAGCTTGGAGGGCTTTGATGACGATCAAAATATTGCCTACTTTTGTTGTTCCTTCTTTGAATTGGTGGCTCGGAGGGCGTTGATGGCGATCAAAGCATTTCTCTCTTGTGCTCGTCCTTTGGATTGGTAGCTCGGAGGGCATTGATGGTGATCAAAATATTGCCCTCTTGTGGTAGACCTTCTTTGGATTGGTAGCTCGGAGGGCATTGACGGCGATCAAAGTATTGCCCTCTCGTGTTGGTCCTTTAGATCGGTAGCTCGGGGGGCTTTGTCGACAACGATCAAAGCATTACCCTCTTATGCTAGTCCTTTTTTGGATATGGAAACAAACATGGTCGACAATTCCAATGCTAGCAATCAACATAAAACTTTGGATATAGTATCAAATATGACTTTTTCAAAAAATCCGGAGAATGATTCTGATAATAATATTTTGATTTTCTTCTTTCAAGTGTTTTAATATATTATTTCATCAAAAACTATATTTCTCATTTCTTTTTTTTTTCTTCATGTGGAGGATTGACGAATACTTCTAGAATTATTCCTCCTGCTTATGATGGTGATAGGAGGAGATCTGATGATATAGTGTCCATCATTACATCTAATAGCATGACGGTGATTCACAAGAAATTTCATATACCAAATGATATATTGATTATTACTCCATAGATGAATGATAGGGCGCATGCTCCTCCA